GCAGGGCCCGGGCGGGAAACACGCAGGTGAGTTGCGGCCAAGCGGGAACAGGCAGCCAAATGGGCAGGGCAGGGAAGGCACCGAAACAGAGAGAAGGAAATGGAACCGTAAGATGCTGGGCCCAGAAAACTGAGGCCCGTCTTGGAGCTAATTTCAGGGGCACTGAGTTCTCCGTCTGTGTGGCTCGGCAGACACACCGCTCTGGGGGCCTGATGTCCAGTATCCAGGGCTGGCTTCACACCAGCAGAACATTTTTGGCTGGGAGCAAAAGAGTTTCATAAATTTTCAGACATTACACTCTTCCATGGCACTTCCTGGTGACACATCCAACCTGAGTGATCTCGTCTAGGAGTAATACTAACCCCGCTTCGACCACCAATCTCTTTCCTCATCAAAGTGAACTTCATTAGGGTTTTTACTCTTCATGTGTAATCATGTTATCTCCTAGTTAACCTTGTAACCTGCTGATGGATGGTCACTGTAGTTATCATTTTTATAATGTTTCTTTGTTATTATTCATTTAGTTTGTGAACATTATGTCTTCAAAGGGGCCTTCTCTGACCCCAGCCCCCAACACCGGCTCGAAGCCCCCAGTCATGCCCCTCCCAGCGGCCTGCGCTTCTCCCTTGTGAGTCTTCCCACCATTGTCAGTAAATAGTAAGTGTATGATTAATTGTTTAACGTCTGTCTTCCTTGCCAGATTATTTTCCCAGTGAAAGCAGGAGCCAGGTCTATCTTAGTCATAGCTGTGTCCAACCCTAGTTCTTGCCCATAGCAGTAAATTCTTTTCAGATGAATTATTTCATTCACTCATTTATTCATCCATTAACGAATTTATTTGGCATTCACAAGCCCCAGGAACTGTGCTACAAACAGGGAAACAAAAATTCCTATGCTACATTCTGCATTCAAAGTGCAAAATTTAGCGTAGAAAGTTCTTAACCATTTTAGGTGAAAATTCCCCTTGACGGCTCCGTGAAAGAAGTGGCCCCTCTTGCCAGAAACTACTTATCTAAAAAGGACACAAGATTTTATATTCCACCAGCTAAGCTCACAGATCCTTAGAAGTGCTTTCGCTGTCTCCTGTAACTCTCTGGATTCTGCCGTGAGGGTCCCTCCATGACAGACTCAAAGACACAGACAAGGCAAGACGGATGGGTGAAGACAGGCATCGGTGAGTCCTCCTTTGGGTCAGGAAAGGCTTCCATCGGGAGAGGTGTTCGAGCCGTGTCTTGAATGATAAATCTGATTTTACCAGGGGAAGTGGTGGGAATATTACAGGTTGAGAAGACGGTATTTGGAAAAGCATGGAAGTGTGAAAAAAACATGTCACTGTGGGGGACTGCAGGTACCTTGCGATGTGTGGCTGGGAAGAAGTGTGGCAGGTGAGGGGGACGCGTGGAGAGGCTGTAGCAGAGGCTGCCGGGGGGGGGGTCAGGGAGGACGCCGCTTTATTCCGTGGTTGATGGGGCGCCATGGCAGGGCTTTCTTCAGGGACCGCTGAGACCCGATTTATGCAGAAGGAGCCGTCTGGCGGGGGTGGAAAGGGTGGTCCCGGCGCGTAGCCCTGCCGTCCCTGTCATCCCGCCCTGAACAAGGCTGGGCCATGGGCTTTGGGGAGAGCCCGCAGGCTGCAGTGCTGTCGGAAGGAGAATCAGCAGGACTTTGCCACTGAGCGGATGTGGGGTGTGTGGGAGAGGAAGGAACTTCAAGCTTCCGTCCTAGGCAGTTGGGTGAGTGCCAGGTTTAGGGTTCCCTGGCGGCCTCCTAGGTATGAATGCCAACTCGACAAAATAACCGTGCTCACGGGCCACAGTTTTTTCACTCAAAATGAAATAAGCTTTTGTAAATGATAAAAAGTACATTCCTTACAACTTAGGTTACCCAGTAGGTTGCCTAGAAGAATGCCAATGGGAAAATCAATACTGCTTTTTAATCACAGAGGTTATATCTGTGCAGCTACACGGAGGCAGCTTTCTAACCTTTCTTCTTGAAATAAGAGCGTGGGCCGTGTGGGGAAGCCAGGCTGACCACATGCAACCTGGGCACTGCCGACTCAAGATGGCCCAGAGTCCTGGGAGACCACGTGCTGGCGGGAAAGGTTTCAGTTCAGCGGCAGATCTGCCCAGTTGGCCGTGCTTAGGACAGTGCATTGTGTGAAGAGGATGCTCGACAAATATTAAATCATAGTTATGAATTTCTTATACACACATTTTCCTATGTGTTTGGAATCTTGGTCATAAATCTTGACTTATGATAAAAATATCCATGAAAGGTACAACCCCTTTATAATTAATTAGTTGCAGATTCAAACTTCCTATCACAGGGCCGTAGGCTTTCAATTAAATTTCTTTATTAATAGTTCCATTGAGATAGAATTCACATACCATAGAATTCACCCATTTAAAGCGTACAATGCTTTCCATTAATTTTTATTTACATTTAAAAAAATTTTTTGGTGATTAAATGGTATTCCCTTTGTAATCAGAAAAATAAATTAAAGTATAAAATATGATCAAAACCTTACCACCAAAGTGGCATGCTTGGTGAGAAGAAAAGACTAAAGGCGGTGCCATTTCACTGGCTTCCTTCAGTGTCCTGCTGGGCAAAGGAGACCCAGTCTGATCTGCAGGCCCTCACTCCACCATCGGGAGGTGAGGCAGGAGCTTCCCCTGCCGATAACTCTCCCAGCTAAGGGCTGATACGTTGGGATGGGTGTATTCTCACCCAGATAAGTAGCGATATTGTATTAAGAGGGGAAAAAGTAGATAATATTCTTGGGGTTTAAACTGAAGAATGTGTTGAAGGAAAAGCTCAACCTATCCATTTACTGTATGCATACAGTGAGAAAAACTGGAAGGTTTCGAGAATTCTGAATGCCACCTCAACTTGTGTGTTAACGATCCTTGTGACAGACAGCATATATCTGAAAACCATGTGGGTTTTTGTCTAAAATAACAATGAGCAGAAACAATATAATCCTTTTCCTATGAAATGGACAGAACTGTCCACAAAAATTGAATCTTTCTGGTTTGCCTTAAGATGCAGGAACACAATTGGCATTTAGGTTGGCCCATATATCGGTAATTTGTCTAAAGCAGCTTTTCCTTTCGAAGATTGCATGTGGGTACTGCAGGAGAGAGAATCGGACAGATTTGGCTCAACTCATTGGGATATCACTGGGGGACTAATGGTTCTTAAATGTACCTTCTATCTTGTTATTTCTCCCTGTTTAAAGCCTGGCATTTGGCTTTAAAGCCTGCTATTAATATAATCCAGCATCATCCCAACTTTCCTGTAGTCAGGCTTGTTTCCTTATTGTTTTAGACATACGGAGCTCATACTTGTGACTGAATGTTTGCTTAAATTGTTTAACTTCTATTGTATTTGCTCTTAGTAAAATCTAATAGATACTGTAAAAAATAGCCTTACGATCTTTCCCCCCCCCCCATCAAGAGCATTGTTTACTATAATGCTTAGTGTGCCCTTTAGGGGGTCCATGAGGAGGAAATTTTGCTCAGGCCTCTCTGCTGCACAACCAGGATGTTTATTTCTTACAGAAATTTCTACTTGCAATGAATTACATTTCTTTTGTTGCTTTGGCCACTAGGAAACTCAGAGTCACATATGCATCTCTTCTTTAATACTGAATAGATTCTCACAGAATGACTTTATTTGTATTAAGTTCTCCACTGATCTCACTTTATTGTTCTGGTCTTGGGGGAGACGAGGCATTGCGGCTGTCCTCGTTACCTTTTAAAATCATTTACTCATGTATTTTTGCAAGTCACTCCAAATCCTTTGGATCTAGGTAAAATAAAAATAAACATTTTAAAATAACCCATCTGGCTTATAGGCGCTCTTCCCTTCCTTTTTTAAACCTCACCCAGCTTTTCCAGTCATTCCTTCATTCTTCATTGACCTCATTTTTCTCTGAGCTCTTGTGTTAATATGATTTTGTACTTTACTAAACACGATTTTGAACTACTCCCTAATGCTTCATGTGTATTAGTCCTGTTGTTCTAGGTTGTATATTTTTTAGTGGTAGGGACCATGGTTTATACTTTTCTGAATCATTTAGTGTGATAATGTCATATGAAGAAATGCTTCCTTTTTACACTGCACTTGTAATAAATATTCAATTTTTTAGCTTATTAACTCTCGTAACACTCAGCACATTTTGATTAGAATTGCAGGAACCCATTTTTGTTTGTCTACAGCAGCCTAAGCTTGTTTTCATAGATCTTGCAAGACTACTCATTCATTCATTATTTGTTACTTCTTGAGCTCCTGGTATAATGTGTTCTTGGGCAGGGCATCCTCTCTCACAGCAGCCTTTGCGAAGAAAGGTAACATCTGGGTGGGGAGAGGCCCATTTCTGCAGCAGCTTGGCGAAGGAACAGGTAGAAGAGGTTTTGCTGTGAGTCTGATACTGGGGGACCACTTCTTCAACAGGTAGGAAATCAAGTCTGCAGCCAAAGACAAAACCGGGGTGAAAGGCAAACACTGGAACCCCGACGCGTCCGCGCCCAATAATCAATATTTTGGGTGCTAACTACAATGATTGATTAACTCGTCTTGGTTTGCTGGGGAAAGCCCAGCGTCCTGACAACCCTGTTAATTCCAAACAAACCGGAAGGATTGGTCACTGGAGCTCTAATCCCGATCCCCATGTCCCTGGAGGGACGGAGGCGTCCCTCGGCGCTGCAGGTGTAGTTCCCACCTAGCCGGGCGCCACGCATCGCGCCCTCCTGCATCCAGACTACAAGTCCCAGCATGCAGCGCGGCGCCCTCCTGCATCCAGACTACAAGTCCCAGCATGCAGCGCGGCGCCCTGCTGCCCGTCTACTGCCGGCGGGGCTCCCGCGGCGCCGGGGAGTCCGTGCGTGCTGACGTTGGCGCGCCGACGCCGTACTCTTCGCTCCTCCTAGCAACCTGCTGGTTTGCCGGGGTCGGCGGCAGGAGGAGGCGTGGAGTGCGTGTTTTTGCAGCGTTTGGCATTTTTTTTGGCGGTTGTTTAAAAGCCAGAGGGAGCTCGGGAAGCGGCTGCCGCTCCGAGCCCTCTTTCCCCCGAGTTTGTGACTGCTGGGTCCAAGATGGACAAAGTCTGTGCTATTTTTGGAGGCTCCCGAGGCATTGGCAGGGCGGTGGCCCAGTTAATGGCCCTGAAGGGCTACCGCCTGGCGATCGTTGCCAGGAATCTGGACGTGGCCAAAGCCGCCGCCAGTGACCTCGGCGGTAGGTACTGACGTGGCGCCGTGCACTTGTGCGCCGCGGCCCGGGCGCCCGAAGCGCCCTCGTCTGTGGGACGGGCGAGCTGGTCCCCACGGCCCGAGGCGCAGCGACTCGTCCCCAGGGCCGCTAGACCGCGTCCCCGGCGGAAGCCTCCCACCCCCCGAGCCTCCCGTCCCGAGGCCTGAACCCTGGGTTTTCCCTGAGACGTCGCGGTCCCCTGAGGCCCCCTGATAAGCGCCCACCTCCTTGCGGCCGGCGCTGGCCGTGGGGAGCGGCTTTGCTTTAGCGTCTGGCCGCCGAGAGCCACGTAACGGTGAACTTTGTACGTAGGGCAAAAGGTACGAGCCCGGCGCCAGGGCCGGGCGGGAAGGAGTTCAGGCAGGAAAGGTGGGAGCGCCGGGTATAAACGCTGCTTTCAGTTTTGCTCGGGGCTGTTCCTGCCCCGTGGGAACGCACAAAGCTGCCTTTCACAGAGAAACCCTGTTGAGTACCTGCCAGTTTTGACATATGCCTGGTTTCCTCGACTACATCCATAAGTACTTTAATAAGTTATTAAATTGTTTTGGAGAATTTTGCAAATGGACAATTGAAATTTGTTCTGCCAGTTTTTATTGCATTTAAACTTCAGTCTTTTTCTGCGTATTAATAATGAATTAGTCATTATTTTGTGAATTTAAGTCTTTATGGTAGGGAGAAATAAAATGTTAGGTATTAAGAGGCTGCTATTTGCTTAATTACTAGAATGGACAAAAATACGCTTCATTTACTATTAGGAAGACGTTGGGTAAAATAGAGGCCTGAGGGTGCATCTTGTGGATACCACTGGTTTGGGATCACCAATTCAGCCTAATTGTTTATGTGGGTTAGGAGAATACTGGGCTCTACAAAATTAAAAAAACCTGTAAGTTATAGCCCAGGGAGAATTTCAGTGAATGCTTCTTGCAGCTCATATTCACTGCCATTCTGACGAAGGAGGGAAAAAATGCAAGCCACCAGTGTTTGCAGGAGTAGATTAAAAACATTGGCTGAGTTTTCAAGAGTGGTTGTAGACGCAACAAGTCCTCAGGTGAAAGCCAGGAGTGAGACACAGAGGATGCTTGTGAGCCTTTCATCTTTTTTAGACAAAGTCTGGCTCTGTTGCCCAGGCTGAAGTTCAGGGGCGCAGTCATAGCTCCCTGCAGTCTTGAACTCCTGGGCTCAAGTCATCCTCCTGCCTCAGGCTCCCAGAGTGCTGAGATCCTGTCTTTTTCTTGAATCATGTGTTCCGTGAATGATTGGTTTTCATCATGTGTGATTTCCCAGGTGACTTACTGATTCCAGAGGCTTGAGTGGATAGTGTTCATGTAGATGTATCTGTCAAGGTCAGACACAAAATAAGCAATTGTTTTAACTTTTTAAAGAAAATTCTATATCTTAGAGTATTAAAATGGTAGCTTGTTAAATAGGGAATGCTTTCTTTTCCTTTAAAGTGTAATTTTTGGCATTTAAGCATTATTTTTTAAAAAGTGGCAATAGTTGTTTTTAGTAAAAAGTTTTTTTCGTCTGTGGTTTGTAGTCTTAGCATTTTTTACAGCTTCCTGCGTTGTTCTCTCTCCTCATGGTCAGGCTCAAATAATCGTCTTTATAATATATGTGCCATAGTGAATCGGTAGCACTTAAAAAACAACAACAATAAGAAACCCTGGAATTCATGTTCAGGGACAAAGAAACCAATTCGACAAAAACCTGACAGAATTAGACCTAAATTTCAAAAAAGGGAATGTGAAACCCAGAAGACTGTTGAATTGGGTAGCATGGGGTCAGTGTTAAAGCTATAAATATTAGACGAATCTTACAAAGCATTATCAACTGGAAAAAGGCTCCTCCCAACTTTTGTTGATTATAAACAGTTTTAAAATGAACGTTCTGCAGTGTTACTTTATTTCTTTTTGTTCCTTACCCGCCTCCATCCCAGTTTCCTTAGACCCACTCCATGAGAGGGGGACCCCATGACATAATTTATTTTTTTATCTCTAGGTTCTAGGTTAGCACAGGCCTGCTATGTATTATAGTAGATGCTTAATGAATGTGTATTGAGCTAATTCAAGTTATAATTTATAAATAATTCTAATTTAACTTTGTTGTATAGGAGATCATTTGGCATTTAGCTGTGATGTTGCTAAAGAACACGATGTTCAAAATACATTTGAAGAGATTGAGAAACATTTAGGTCAAATAAATTTCCTGGTAAATGCAGCTGGTATTAACAGGTTGGTCACAGATTTAAGTACATTTCTAATGTCTTTTTTTAACTTTTATTCCTGATGTGTCTTTGATTAGTATAAGTTAATTAAGTTGTTTTACTTCTAATAGGAAGAAAAACTATTTTAAAACTTTGTCAATCCATACATTCTTTTCTTTTATGTTGGGATATCTAGCAAGTGTACAGTTTGATCCATTTTAACATTGTAATCATCACCTATATTGAGCTATAGAATATTTCCTGCACTCCAGAAGGCTCTCTCAGTTTCTTCTCAATTAATACTTCCTTATTAGGTAACCATTATTCTGAGTTCTGTTACCATATATGTTTTGCCAGTTAATGAACTTAATACCAGTGGCATCATAGGGTGGGTATTGTTTTTATAAAAGATGAATTTAGGAGAGAATATTTAGAATAACATTAATTTTCTTGCTAAATGAAGTATGGTATGGCAATTGCTCACATCATTCAAACTATTCTGGCTGCGTGGTACTACTTTTAGCTGATAGGAATATTTGCCACTCTAGGCGAGAGAGGGTAGGAACATGCATTTCATGTGAATCCTTTTGGCTTATCAATTGTTATTTTAATGCCTCTCAAGCCAAGTTCAAAATGGGACTCTAGATACTCTAACTCAAATATGAAGTACTTCTTACACTCTGCTTTCAGTAAAAATGTTATCTATGTCTTGACTTTTTTTGACTTATCTTGTTATTAATTTACATGCTGCTTCTTTTTGTAGGGATAGTCTTTTAGTAAGAACAAAAACTGAAGATATGGTATCTCAGCTTCATACTAACCTCTTGGGTTCCATGCTGACGTGTAGAGCTGCCATGAAGACTATGATTCAACACCAGGGAGGGTCTATTGTTAATATAGGTGAGTGAGTCTTCACTTTTGTTAATTTAAAATGATCCCGTATTACCATAAAAATATTTAATCCACTAATTTGGAATTTATTCGCTGTGAAACTTAGATGAAATTTCATTGTATTATCTGTGGAAAAAGGGATTTAATTAACTGATTAATGAATAAAATAGAAATCACAAATTCACATCCCTGTAGGAGTCAGGCAGGTGTTAAATGAGTGATACCACCAGGTATTAGAAAAATGACAGTGATAACCATGTGATAAATGGTAAATGATGTTCATCTCATTCAGCTTCCTTGACCAGTGGCCATGTGGAATGGTGGAGGCCACCACTGCTCAGATCTAGTAGATTGTCACTGTGCACAAATGTGGTCACAGTTTTGCCAGCAGTTTTGATTTTTCAAGAGAAATTAGACATCCTGATTTTTACGTGAAACCTAATTTTTAAAATATGGACAAGGATTTTAAACAAGGTAGACAGTGGGGACTAAATAATGATGTCTATAGCAGTTGCATGGGTCACCGATAAATCTAGTGCAGAGATTTAAAGGAAGTTCAAATTTCTCAGATTTTTAGGATGAATATAAGTAGTAACTCCTAGTCTGCAGGTCATCTGACCCACAGAGCAGATAAACTGTGGAGCGTGTGCCTGTAGAACGTAAAATGCAAAATGACTTTGAAATTTTATTTCACTTTGGTAATTTGAAAATAGTGGTATACCATCTGCTTTTTGTTTTCAAATAGTAATACCTTAAAAGGCCACAAAAGAGGGATGCTACTTCATTAAAGTAAATGACTGTATTCTTTTTAGTACAGGAAATGGCTTTCCAAGCCAGAATTTAGGGATTTCCTCTTTCAAAAATGAGAAAAGGAAAGAATACTGTGCTAAAAAACAAAGAGAATGTAAGAACATTTTTTTACTTTTACCCTTAAAAATGTAAGGGATCAGTTTTCTTACTAGAAGGATTAGTAAATGAGTCCACCTTTGCCTTGTTTTTTGTTTTTTGGGTTTTTTTTTTTGTTTGAGACAGGGTCTCACTCTGTTGCCTAGGCTGGAGTGCAGTGGCGCTAAGGTAGCTCATTGCAACCTCCACCTCCTGGGCTCAAGCAATCCTCCCGCCTCAGCCTCCAGAGTAATTAGGACTAGAGGTGTGTGCCACCACACCTAGCTAATTTTTAAAATTATTTTTGTAGATATAGGGTTTGTTATATTGCCCAGGTTGTTCTTGAACTCCTGGCCTCAAGTGATCCTCCCACCTTGGCCTCCCAAAGTGCTGGGATTATAGGTGAGAGCCACTGGGTCCGGCCCACCTGTGCATTTTAACAGGGCCAGATAATGACTTCAGGTTCTTATCAGCTGGCACACAGGCCTGTTTCCATCACCTGATAACATGGGGTCTGTTTGTTTAACTCTAAAATATTCTCTTTTTAGGTATATTTCAGAAATCCAGGTCAGTCCTTCATGTGCATACAAAACTTTTAGAATTGTGCTAAAAGTAAATAAAAATAGTTAATTGAAAGTAAATTAAGAGAATACATCTTGTTACAGAAAGGACTACTTTGAACTACTAGAAAGGTCATTAATATTTCAGAAGTTACCACTTTTTGGCCAAATAAACAGTAGTGTATAGCGTGAACCAAAGCTACGAAAGCTTCCTATTTGGCCTTTCTTCCATGCATGTATTTTTCTTTCTTTTTTGTCTCTTTGTATTTTTCTTTTTCCTAAATACCCCTTTTTCTGTCTATCTTCATTTTCTTAGTGTGATGTCTTTTCTTTCTTTCTTTGTGCTTCACGGTTCTCTTTCTTTTGTCATATGATATATATTATAGAGAAATATTTTAATACTGGACTTGATTATAATAGAAGAGGTGTTTGGAATATTTTCTTTTTCTAAAATAAAATTACTTTTTAAAAAATATTGTGAGGTTCTTGATTAATTTTTATATCATAAGTACAGGTCAGTGATGCAGAAAATTACTTCCTCACTCCTGTTTTGCAAGAATTTATTTGCATATAGTTGATATTTGAGTTATAAATTATTCTTACCTATTCATTAAATGAAGTCACTCAAGGATTGTTATTAGGCAGTACAAGTTACAGTACATCACTGAAAGTCATGAAATTGCACTTTTACAAAATGTTTATAACTGAAGCTTTGCCAGTTTGGATTGACAGGAAGGGCACACCTCAGAGATATGGCAGGTTCCGTTCCAGTCCACTGTGGTAAAGTGAATATTGCATAAAGCAAGTCACGCAAATTGTTTGGTTTCCCAGTGCATATAGAATTTATGTTTATACTATACTGTAGTCTATAGCATTATGTCTAAAAACAATTTACATATCTTAATTAAAAAATGCTTTATTGTTAAAAAAATGCTATCAATTATCTGAGCCTCTAGTGGATCATAATCTTTTCACTGGTGAAAGATCTTGCCTTGCCTTGATGTAGATGGCTGCTGACTGGTCGGGGTGGTGGCTGCTGAGAGTTGGGTGGCCGTGGCAATTTCTTAAAATAAGACAATAAAACTTGCTGCATCAATTGACTCTTCCTTTCCTGGAAGATTTTTCTTTTGTGTGTGCTATGCTGTTTGATAGCATTTTACCCACAGGAGAACTTCTTCCAAAATTGGGTCCATCCTCTCATACCCTGCTGTGGCTTTGTCAGCTAAGTTTATGTGACGTTCCGAATCCTGTTACTTTAACAGTGATCACAGCATCTTCCCCAGGCGTAAATTCCACCTTGAGAAACCGCTTTCTTTGCTCATCCATAAGAAGTAACTCCTCATTCATTCAAGTTTTATCATGTTTGCAATGATTCAGTCTCATCTTGAGGCTCCACTTCTAGTTCTGTCGGTTTCAGTCTGAAATGTCGGTTCTTGGTGCACGCATGGCTGAAGAATGACCAGATGCACCAAAGTCAGGCAAGCATGCAAACGAGGTTTACTGAGGAGAGGAAGACAGGATTATAGAGCAAGAGCAAATAGAGGTTTACAGGTCGTGATACATATGCCACGGAAGACAACCCGACCCATTGTTGCAGCAAAGGGAGAGGCACAGGAAGGGCCAAAAAAGGGACTTGGTTATAGTCTGTGTCTTGTTTTATGGTGCCCGGATTGGGACCTCCCTAGTGGTTCAGAGGTCACCATGGAACCACTTTGATTGGACAGTTGGGAGTTGCATGACCTGAGTCTTACTACACATGCGGGGTTGTTCTAGGTAACTTTCTGGACTCTCTTGTACCTATGCTGCTTGGCCCGTGGGCTGGAGAGTCCTCTGCATTCTTTTGCAGTTGGCGCACTGAGTTATGATTGGCAGGTTTGTAGGGTGTTGCTTCCTACCCCAGGTATGGCAGTCGCCCCAGACAGGATTAAGGTGGGGCAGCACCAGGGCGGGGGCCCACTTTTGTTCCTGGGAGGCCCGGAATCCCTTGCTATCTTCCTAACAATTCTAGCTCTCTTGCTTTTCTACCATATCTGCAGTGACTTCTGCTGAAGTCTTAAACTCCTCAGTCATCCATGAGGATTAGAATCAACCTTTTCCAACTCCTGTTATTGTCAATATTTTGACCACCTCCCATGAGTCATGAATGTTCCGAATGGCATCTAGAATGGTAATCCTTTCTAGAAGGTTTTCAATTTCCTTTTTCCAGATCCATCAGAGGAATCACTATCTATGGCAGCAATATCCTTACAAAATGTATTTCTTAAAAATAAGACTTGAAAGTTGAAACGATTCCTTGATCCATGAGCTCCAGGATGGATGTTGTGTCAGCAGCATGAAAAGAACATTACTCTCCTTGTACATCTCCATTAGGGCTCTTGGGTGACCAGGTGCATTGTCAATATTTTGTTTGAGGCACCCCCAAAAAATTACAATAGTGACATCAAAGATCATTGATCACAGGTTATCATAACAGATATAATAATGAAAAAGTTTGAAATATTGTGAGAATTACCAAAATGTGGCACAGGGACATGAAGTGAGCACATGCTGTTAGAAAAATGGTGCCAATATACTTAATGCGTCGTTACCATAAACCTTCAATTTGTAAAAAAACCAGTATCTGTGAAGCACAATATAACAAATTATGCCTATGGTTCCATTTTAGTGAGATTTATCTTCAAATGAACTATTCTTTTAGGTGGAATCGAGTACTTCTTTACGTCTGTGTGTAGAATCATAAAATTAATCAGCCTTTGACCTTTTCTGGCTCTAACGTCTTTCTGCTGGAAGCCTTTATAACACCACGGGGAATTTTCATCTTGTCTGACGTACTCAGACATAGAGTGGGTCCCTTTCACTTACTGGGTCAATTTGCAAGCCCCCACCTGGCATTGGCAGGTTCTTTGAGATCCTGTTTTGTGTACATGGCCAGAGTAGACTGGGACTCGTGAGTCCTTCATAAATGACAAACGACAATGGTTAGAATTCCTATTTTTAACAAGGACAGGGTGGGTTTTACCTTTTTTGTTTACTTACTTTAAATTATATGAATTTTCAGATAACCCCATTAATTGGATTTAATTTTCTTTCTTTTTTTCTTTCCTAGGAAGCATTATTGGTTTAAAAGGCAACTCTGGCCAGTCTGTGTACAGTGCCAGTAAAGGAGGATTAGTGGGATTTTCACGTGCTCTTGCTAAAGAAGTAGCTAGAAAGAAAATTAGAGTGAATGTAGTTGCACCAGGTAAGTGAAAACTTCTTATTAAAATAACTATTGATTATGATTTTTGTTTTATAGAGATGGAAGCCATTAATTGGCCCATTAATAGTCATTAATTGACATCTGGATAGAACGGTTCTGAAATGATTGTGAAAAAAATTGAATAATGAACTGGTGACTAGAAAAAAATGTACCTCATTTTACAAAAATAAAAATCTTTATTTTTAAATTTTGCACTAATTATGGAATAATGTAAGGTGGAGAGGATCTCAAAGATCATTTATTCCAGTCATTTCTGTAGTTTAGAAAACAGAACTAGGATTCAGAGTGATTTGTCTAAGGTTACACAGCTAGTTTATGGCAGAACTGTTACTAAAAGTTGTATCTTTTGATTTCTGCCTAATAGAAGCTTGAAAATAATGTCCCCTTAGATTTCCTTTATATCATTATAAACTTTAGATCTTTTTATTCTGTTGCTACTATGGTCTGTCTAAATTATCTGGAACTTTCCAATTTCCTTTTATATTATTTGCCTTTTGCCAAAATACTGGTTGATAAAATTGCCCGGATTAGTGAAGAGGGTAATAAAAAGATACTAAAGCTCAAAAATATATTATCACTAATTAGCTGGTGTGCTAGAAATTTTGGTTAGGTACTTACTTGATTTTTTAATAAAATGAGTGTTCGTCGTATAGTTCTGCCAGTTAGCCATGGAATCTCTGTCCTAGCTTACTGTATGTGTTTAAGAATTGATCACCTGTCAAACAAAGAAGGCAGTTTATTTTGTTCACTGGTTGTAGGAAAGGGTGGGCTAAACAGACCTCCGCCAGCTTTCCCTCTCCAGTCGCTAGTGGCTCCTGCTTGGACCCTAGAGTTAGTGTGTCATTGGGCACTGAAGTTGAGCCAGCAGGTATCAGGGATTTATCAAAATGTCCTGTTAACCGTTTGGACTGTAATGTGCCTTTGTCCTAGTTCATTTTTTAGGCACAGAGGCTAGTTAAATTCAGACATTCTAAATCTGTGAACATGTGATAAATGATTGTCATTCAGATGCATCTGTTTAAAAAAAAAATCCAAAATCTGCATTGTCATTGTCTTGGCGCTGTTTTCTGTGCCGGCTGATGGATTTTGGCATTAGCCTGGGTTAACCATATATGGAATAAATTATTTGTGGTTTGGGACTATGCGTATTTGCTTTCTTCTCTTTTCAGTATGGGAATAGTGTGAGTAAGAAAGGGTTAATTTTATTTCATGATGACTTAAAAGCTGAATGGTTTCGGGGTAATGCAAGTTCTCTTAACTAACAACTCAAGCAGCAAACTTCCTGAAGTGTCTCCTGCCTGCAGGGGCCATGCTGGGTCTCAGACTTACCAAAATAAATGAGATAGTTCTGCCACAAGGAGCTAAGTATAATGGGAAAGACAGACATACAAACGAATGATTGCAGTGTCATGTGATGAATGTAAAATAGAGGTACATAAACGATGCCGTGGAAATGCTGAAGAAGGAATGCTTAAGTTTTTCTAGAGTGAGCGAGTTGTCAAGACAGAGGACTAAGTGGTGGAAATCCAGTCTGTGTACAGAGGGGAAGTTTTAAGAGTGTTACGGAAGTGTGGTAGATAGGCTTTCTTAATGATCTTCCTTTTCTGTGCAGTTCTTTTTGGAAGCGGTAGTTTTATTGAT